GTGGGATATTGGGAAGAAATGTGAAGAGGAGGGTTAAAAGAGGAGTGATTTTTGAAGTAAAAACTTGGTTCAAGTCTTGATGCTGCTACCTCATGTTTCCCTTAACCAGCTCTCTCCGTGACTTTGGGCGCCTTCCTTAATTTTCCTGAGCATATGTTTTTTCTTTTGTAAAAAAAAAATAATTGCTAATGACTTTTGAGTGTACGGTACATGTCAGATTCGGTTCTAAATTGTTCGCATGTATCAGCTCATTTAGAACTTAAAATAATTTGTATGAGGTTACCATCCCCATTTTAAAAATGATGAAGCCAAGGATCAGAGAGGTTAAGTAATTGCCCCAATTTCACACAGTATGGAATTTGAATTTAGGCAGTTTAGTTCCAGAATCCACTCTTAATTCTTAATGATACACTGCTTCTCGTACATGAGGTTAATCATTCTGATCTTATGCAGTATCTGCAAGGATTTAAATTCGGTACTGTCTTTAGAGTCCTTAGAACAGTCCTTTCTTCATTCATTCAACAAATATTTATTGTGCACCAAACAGTAGACAGAGAGTTCCTGCTGTCTCGTAGCTTAAACTCTAGAAGGAGAAACAAGCAATAATATAGTAGTTTCACAATAATAATTTAATTCTAATTGTAAGGTGTTATAAAGGAGGCCACACCCTAGGCCTAGCCAGTTTGGCTCAGTGGACAGAGCATTGGCCTGAGGACTAAAGGCTCCTGGTTCCATTCCTTCAGTCAGGGGCACGTCCCTCAGTTGCAGGCTCAGTCCCCAGCATGCGGGAGGCAACCAATCGATATGTCTCTCTCACATCAATGTTCCTCTCTGTCTCTCACCCTCCCTTCCACTCTCTAAAAAATTCAATGGAAAAATATCGTCGGGTGAGGATTAAAAAGAAAAAGAAAGGAGACCACTTTGTGCAGAGACCACGTAAAATAGGAAGATACAATCCTGCTGTGCATCCTGAGTGTAGAAACCCTGTCTTCTCAGCTCTGTATCATTAGAGCCTACCACAGTTCATGGAGCAAAAAGTTGCTCAATAAATGTGGATGACTGAATAAATAGATAAGGTGTGGGAAGCTTGGGTCTTAGAGTACCTGAGTAGAATGGAGAGAGATGTGAGAGGTTAATTCAGGATGTTAATAGGCTAGAGAAGGACGCAGAAGTCGGGGTGTTAAGAGGGAAAAGCAAGCAGCTAGGTAATTATGTTGGGATGAAGAGGAATAGGTGGGTGTTTGAGTGTTTTCTTTGAGTAGAGAAATAATTAGAGTATTGGAATGGATTAGGGTGTCAGAATATTTGCTGGGATGAGCATTTTGGGAAATCAGGGTATATATGAGCAGTTTGGGAAATCAAAATGGATATAAAAGTGCTGAGGCAGAGTACTGAAAAGAGCTGTAGAGAAATAATGGAGGAGAATAATACAATGTTAGAGAATTGGGACAGAATTCATGCGAAAATTTAGCAATCAGAATGGGATGAAGGATGGGAGGCAGAGACCATGTATAACAGGAAGATAAAATCCTGCTGTGCATCTTGACAATTGGCTTTGGAAAGAAGAGGAGCTGGATTAGAGACTTTGGAGAGGAATAGCAATGAGGACAAGAGAAAGTTAAAGAGTAAGCATATTTAAATGGGTCCAAAGGTATGGAATAAAGTAGAATATTAGGGAAAGTATTGAGATGTGATTAAAGGGCTAAGGGATGTAGTGGAGAGGGATATAGAGGTCAAGAAATGGGCATGGATATCTGCATATTGGAGTGGACTGGGAAGAGATGGAAGGCTTGGGGATTATTGAGGTCTGCCTCATTTAGAGAAGATCAGAGAAGATGGAAAATTAGGAATGTTAGGAAAGGCTGGATAGAGGTGGAGGAGTGCTCTCTACCAAGCTGTGAAGGATGGGATTGTTAGATCAGGGCAAGTATCTGAGTCTTAGAGTGACACGATGAGTAGTGTTTTGTTGCCTTGCCATATGATTCTGATTATCATATCACTCCAGTGGCTTTCTCTTGCTCTGCAGACTACCTTGAGTGCCTTCAATATGTGTTTCCAGTTCTGAATTTTTGTTTGGTTTTATTTTCTTTTTGTCCTGCCTCTTCACACACTCTAGCCCTACCTCTCAGCTCTGTCTTCTCTGTTCTATTGCTTGGTCTTTGTTTATGTTATTGCAAACTACATCTTAGGGCCAAGCAACCTTCCCATCTCTCCCTTAAAATTGTAGTTCAAGATTTACTATCTCCAGGTGGTAGCCTCTGAAATAATGCTAGCCATTCTCAAACACAGTAAATCCCCAGTTCAGTGAGTTGGCTATTCTATGAGATTGTAATATATATGTGTTGTTTCAATGTCCAGGCTCTGCGGGAGCTATGGAACTCGGGGAGGGGATCTGGGAATGCACTGTGATGTTGGAACCATCTCTTAATCTTTCATATTACAATTCATAAAAGGAAGGAGCTGATTTAGATTTCTGGAATCCATTCTAATTTTATTTTAATCTCTGTAAGTGAGAAAGGCAGAGTTTTCTATCAGGAGAGGTAACAGAGGACTTCATGATAGTCTAGTAAGGCCCAAAGAGTTTTTGGTCACTAGGATGTTATGTAAGGAATTCAGGATGGTTCAGTATTTTAAGAATTAAGAGAAAAGATTAAGATGCAGGATACAAAATAATTGCACTGCATAAAAATAAGATGTGCTTATTTTAACCAAGAAACTAAAAACATATAAAGTGTATTTTTTTAGCATGTAGCATACATGATTATTTTAATTTTATAAATTTCTATCATACTATGGGATAGAGAAAGATATACAGAAATGAGAACTGAGCCTTGTCCCTCCACTCTTATTTTTTTAAATCTGTTACTCTTATTTTTTGAATCTGTTACTCTTACGAAAACTACATTTAATTTAAGAAAAAATAAAATTTTACCTTTAAACCATATGCTTCTTAGATCTTCTCAAGTTCGAGTATATTATTTTTATTTAGAAAGCTAATGCCAGTACAGCTTAGCACTGAATCATTAATATTACTGAGCCTTTTCTGTGGCAGAATGGTGTGATATCCTATATCAGTGGTTGGCAAACTGCGGCTCTCGAGCCACATGCGGCTCTTTGGCCCCTTGAGTGTGGCTTTTCCACCAAATACCACGTGTGGGCGCGCACGTACAGTGCGATTGAAACTTCGTGGCCCATGCACAGAAGTCGGTATTTTGTGGAAGAGCCACACTCAAGGGGCCAAAGAGCCGCATGTGGCTCGTGAGCCGCAGTTTGCCGACCACTGTCCTATATAATAAAAGCCTAATGTGCTAAGTGTCGGGTTAACTGGTCGACTATTCAACCAATCAAAGCATAATATGCTAATGATAAGCTAAGGCTGCTCAACCGCTGGTTATGATGTGCACTGACCACCAGGGGACAGACCCTCCAACGGGTAGATTAGCTTGCTGCTGGGGTCTTGCCGATTGGGACTGGGCAAGATGGGGCCGGACATGCCCTGGAGCCCTCCTGTGGTCCCTCTCTGGCCCTGATCGTGCACTGGTGGGGTTCCTTGGCATGGCCTTCACCCTCTTGCAATCTGGGACCCCTCAGGGGAGGTTGAAAAGCTGGTTTCGGCCCAATCTCGCAGGTCAGGCCAAGGGACCCCACTGGTGTATGAATTCGTGCATTGGGCCTCTAGTAAGACATAAGAAGTATTTACTACACTTGTGAAATCAGGACCAAAAACCTTGTGACTATGTCATAAATAGAAGTTATGTGAATTGGGGGAAGCTTTTCTGACTTAGCTGGAGGTTTAACATGAAAAAAATGAAAGAGAAAGTAAAGACACATAGAAGTGTGCAGTTTAAAGTGACTGGACTACTGGAACAAGGCAGTTGGCCATATTTTACCATATAACTGTGAAATAATCATTCTTAAAAAATAAAGATAGCAGGTTTTGCTTCCTTCAAACTAGATCATGAGTTCAGTGATGCTATGGTATTAAATTTTCTGGCTCATTCCCATGGGCATTATTCACTATTTAGGGAACACTGGAGGAGGAACAGGATTGGAGGAAAATGAAGGAGAAATGGGGAAATGATAAATTCAATTTGGACATGTTGAATTTATGCCAGTGAGGTGTCAAGTAGGCAGTTAGGATTAGAAGTCTGGAACTCAGAGAAAAGTTAGATTGAAGATATAAATATCAGTAGACAGGTGGCATCGGGAGCCATGGGTGTTGTATCAGCGGTTCTCAACCTGTGGGTCATGACCATCGGAAAACACATATAGCATATCAGATATTTACATTACGATTCATAACAGTAGCAAAATTACAGTTATGAAGTAGCAATGAAAATAATTTTATGGTTGGGGGTCACCACAACATGAGGAACTGTATTAAAGGGTCGCGGCATTAGGAAGGTTGAGAACCACTGTTTAGATTGTTTAAAATGTGATTAGAGAGATACGAGAAGAGACTTGAGGACTCTGACATTTAAAGATTGAATAGAGGAGTGTAAGCCAGCAAAGGAGGCTAAGGAGTGGCCAGGGAGGCAGGATGATACCTGGAGAGAGTGGTATCCCAGAAGCCAGAGGAAGAAACTGTTTTAGAAAGGAGAGTGTGCTCATCAGTATTAAGTACTGCTGGTTGCCAAATATTTTCAGCCTCCTACACTCTAGGACAGCGGTGGTCCTCAGACCACTGGTGGTCCATGAGGTTTGAAAGGTTGGCGACTGCTGCTCTAGCACACCTTGCAGGTAGAAGGGGCTTTGTGACTAGTTCTGGTCAATAAATTGAAAACAGAAATGAAAAGTAAATCTTCTGGCTGGAGCATCTGTAAATACAAGACCCTATGGAGGTCTCCTTTCCTTCTGGCAAGGTGATCAGCAATGTTTGAAATAGTGTCTGCTCTTGTCAACGTAGTGTGGATCCTAGCATCTGTAGCTTCTGAGTTTATAACTTTGTAGTTTTGAAAATTCTAGAAATATATTAATTTGTTTTGATAGCTCTAAAAAACTAACCTTGTTAAATATACTGAAAACTCTTACAGGTTTTGGTGGACACTTGGCTGCTTGCAATGAGGAAAGGTTCTCAACAAAAATTTCCCAAGTCAAAGATGCCATCATCATCTCTTATGCCCAATATGAGATCTAGGTCACTTTCACCTTTAGGCGGATCCAAGACTCCACCTTTTCATTCTGGAGGACAGTGGTGTGAGCAAGTTGGGATTGCAGATGAAAACACTATACAATTGAACTACCACGACCATAGAGGTACCACATTCTAATCTAAGAATTTGACCACATACTCTTAAATAAAGATGGAAAATAATGAACTTAACTATTTTGGGTCCAAATGTAACATATATCCTGGTACTAACTTGACCTATTTTTTTATTGACAGACATTGTACAAGGACAGTGGAGGGTGGAGGCTCCTGGGTGAGGTTGAAGATGTCTGAAAGGTTTCAGAGAAGGGAGTTTCAGAAAGAGAAAACTTTATTTCCTATGGTGGGAGAGTGCCTTAAAGCTCATCTGCCAAATTTATCATAAGGGGGTTCACTGCAGAATGGAGTGCCTTAATTCCGTAGAAACATGTTACCTGCCCGTGGGCTATCCACAAGCTGCTTATTGGCAAGCTGCTTATTTGTGAATGGACTAATTTCCATGTGAGGGCATATATATGTTCCACCAAGGTTTTTATTTTTTTTCTTAAAAGCATTCTGTTAGTTTTGGAAAAAATAAATTTTTTTTTCTAAGAATCTATTTAATTGATTAAATGTGAAAGAAAACTATAATTTATTTGCTAAGTCACTAAATCAGAACCATCAAACTCTCTTGACCTGAATATGTGATCAGTTTTTATTAATAAACATTATCAGCATTGAGTTTAGACTATACCCTTACTGTCAGTTGGTATACTATTATTTCTAATTTGATATTTTAGAATATTAGTCATTTTCTTTCCTAGAACAGCCAAATTACAGAAAAAGACTGATTATTTATGAGTTAATATTACATTTCTTTGCTAAATAATCATAGAGAGTCTTTGGCACACAACGTGGATCTGAACCCAGGATTAATTTTTTTCTGACTCGTAAAGAAAGAACCAAGAGGCAATTTTCTTTTTATGGTTGTTTTGTAAACTGTAACATGGCTTACATAAACTCTGATGGCAATATCCAGAAAGGTATTAGGGCAGGATGTGTTATCCATCATGTTAGTACTTTATCTGTATAAAATGATATGATCTTATTTATTTAAAAGAGCAACAAATTTGAGTTTCTCACTATTAAAAAAAAAAATAGGAAAAGAGGATTTTTTAGAATTTAAGCGTTTTTTTGCCCTGACCGGTGTGGCTCAGTTGGTTGGAGCATTATCCTCTGCACCAAAAGGTCAAAGGTTCGATTCCTGGTCATGGCACATAACCTAGGTTGTGGGTTTGATCCCTGGCTCTGGTCAAGTGGGTACAGGATTCAACCGATCGATGTTTCTCTCTCTCCCTTCTCCTCTCTAAAAATTATGAATGCATCTTTGGATGAGGATTTAAAAAAAGAAAGAAGAATGTAGTGTTTTTGAACTTTAGATTGGAACAAACAATAAATAGTGCCAGTATTTTTTAATTACTAAAAACGCCAGTGCTGCATATGATTAAAAGTTTAAGTTTTGGATTCATCTGCCAGGATTCAAGTCCTGGATTTGCATATTGCTAGTTGCAAGACTTTGAACAAATTATAATTTTTTAAATAAATGTGAATGGTAATTTCTATCTCAGAGATTTGTTGTACAAACTACATTTTTAAAATGTAAAGCATTTAGAACAAAGCTTGGTACACAGCTAATACAGAGTGGGAGCAAAAGTACATTTACAGTTGTGAGTATTTGAAACAGAGTTTATTCTTGTATTATTATTACTGTAAATCTATTTTTGTTCCATACTGTATAGAGTATAATTTATTGTCATTATTATGAAATGCTATATAAAGTAAAATATTGTTAAAGTATTGCAGTTAGAACTCGCCAGCTGTTTTTACATTTGCATGGCTTAAAAAATTTTTTGTTATTTAACATCAAAATAATTTGTTTTTCAGAATATTCATGTCTTCCTCAGCTGATAATGATCTGTATCTGTAATTTCAGAAGCTGGTTCACATGCAGGAGTCCGATACATTACAGAGGCTCTTATAAAAAAACTTACTAAACAGGACAATTTGGCTTTGGTAAAATCTCTGAACCTTTCACTTTCTAAAGATGGTGGCAAGAAATTTAGGGTAAGTTACCAACATTTCTGAACATAGGCATTATTTTTTATGTTTCTATGCTTTAAAACTGAAAAAAAAGAGATTATATTAGATTTACAGTAACATCTCATCCTAATGTCACCTAATTTGTAGCAGACCTTTTATTGTTTCCTGTGAAATTTCTACATCAGAAGTATATGACATCTTTAAATTCATAAGTACCTATTATCTTATACATTATTGACTCTAGAGAAGGAGTTGGCATACTACAGTGTGCTAGATCAGGCTTGCTACTCACTTTTGTAAATAAAACTTTATTGGAACACAACCACACTCATATTGTCTGTGGTTGTTTTTACACTACAATGGCAGAGGTAAGCAGTTGTCACAGAGACTATGTGCCCACAAAGCCAAAAATATTTACTGTCTGGCTTCTTGCAGAAAAAGATTGCTGATCTCTTATTCATATAAACTATACAACATGAACACATTATAATAGACAACTTAATTTTTAAATTAAGAAATATAAACTTAGATGCCTACAACATTAGTCACAAAAATTAATCCCAGAAGGTTGAAGATCTTAATGAAAACAAAACAAAAGTCAACAAAAATGCTATGAAAGTACTAGAGAAGAATGTAGGTGAATAAATTTCAAAATCTTAGCGTGGGAAGGCTCTTCTAAGCAAATACCAACCCTAATACCATAAAGAAAAATATTGACAGATTTAGCTTACATAAAGATTTAAAAATTGTGTTTAATGAAAGATATTGTATAAAAAGTTAAAAGAAAAACAACAAACTGGCAGGTAGTGTTTTCAACATATGTAAAAATACCCACATACTATAAAGACTTCTACAATTCAGTAAGAGATAACTCAGTGAAAAATGTTCAAAGGATATGACCAGGCATTCACAAAAGTATTATAAATGGCTAATATTAACATGAAGATGTGTTCAAATTTATTAATATCAAAGAAATGTGAAATAAAATTCATCAATTGAGTGTATACTTACTGAGTTTGTACTCACCAACCCAGCAGTTCCCTTTGATATCTACTCTATTTGATACTATTTGCCTATGTATCTAAAAGTGTCTATATAGTTATGTGTATTAAACATTATTTAAAATAGACAAATTGGAAATAACCAAATGTCTGTCAATAGGGGATTGTTACTAGTAAATAAATTATGGTGCAATAATAGACAATGGAATACTATTAAATTTCTTTAAAAATAAGTTAGAGCTCTGTGCAGTAATGTTGGAGTATGTCCACAGCATATTTAATGAAAGAAAAAAATTCTAAAACATTTTATATAGTAAGGTCTCAAAATATTTTTTTTAATTCTTTTTTTCTATATGTGTTATCTTTGAACAGTGGGATTTTTTTTTTACAAGGGCCTGGTGACCTGATGAGAGCTTTTATTTGTTTTGTCTGAAATTTTTACTAGAATATATTTATGTCTTACTCGTGTAGTTAAAAAGAAAAAAGAATAAATTCTGTAGTTTAAAGGTTGCTAAAATGAAATATCAAATCAGTAAATCTTTACTGTCTGATTATTATGTCAGGCATTATGTTAAGTTGTGGGAGTACATAAAGAAGTGAATAAGCTTAGTTTCTAATCTCTGGGAATTTAGAGTTTAGTGTGAAGAATGCCTAGGATTAAGAGGAGAAATAGTGAAGGAGAACCATAGAGCAGGGGAGAGGCCAAACAGGTGAGAACTGAAGGCAGGAAAGGATGATATGAAATGTCACAGGACAGTCAAATAGGGTGAAAATTTAGAAGTCACTTGGATTTAGCAATTAAAAAGCCCTTCCTTCTACTTCTCAAATCTACCAAGTTCATTTTTTCAGGGCTTTTACATCTTTTTTCTCTGCCTCCGTCTGTTCACACACCTAGCTTCTTGTTATTAAAGTCTCAACTCAGTGTATTTCCTCAGTGAGCCTTCTCTCACCACCCAATCACAATTAGCCACCTTCTCCTGAGTCACTCTCTCTTATTTCAGTCAACAAATATTTTAGTACCCATTATGTGCCAACAACAAATACAAAAGAAAAACCCTGTCCTCTTAGTGCCTTGTATTCTGTCACATCATGTTATCTTTATTTTCTTGTTAGGATACTTCACTCTCTGAAAATTTTATTTATTTTTCACTTGTTTATTGGCTTTCTCTGTGAATGAAAATAATAACCTTGTTTTTCTAATTCATCACCATATTTCCAGTACCTGAACAGCTCCTGGCAAATAAATATTCATAAATATTTGTGTAAGGGATGAATGATCTTGGAGAGAACTGTTTGAATACCTAGTAAGGGCAGAAGATACATTGCCTTACAATTAGAATAAGAGTGAATGGAAGGCAGAATGAGCAAATGTACATAATTCTTGTGAGAACATGGTGGCAAATGAAAGATAAGATGATGCTTGATAGGAAAACAAGTTCAGTCTGAGCTGATATGTATTATATAGAAGAGGTTGGGTATATTGAACATAGGCTTCTGCAGCCAGGCAGTTGTCTAGTTTACTGGTATATCCATTGCCTGGTGTCACATCTGGTATGTAATAAGTATGTAATGAATATCTGTTAAATAGTGACTGCTTTTAAACTTGAGGGCAAGATCCAGGAGAGAGAAAGATTGAAGATGCAAGAGTATGGGGAGAGGAGATGGGTAAGGTTACGCAAGAGCCTAAGTCCCTTGTTGAACTTTGAAGAAAGGAGAGGAGGGAGGGAGAAGCATGAAAAAGTTAAGATGGAGGAAAAAGTTAAGTTGAGGTGGGGAAATCTTGTTGGATAGTCTTTCACTTCTTAGTATATAGGTAGTGTTTTCCACTTGGAGAGTTTGTGGGCTTGAGGAGAGCTGCTACTCCTGGTCAGGAGAGCCCCTCCAAGGCCTTGTCCAGGACAGCAGTAAGGGTTTATTATTCTCTTATGACTGATCAAAATAGCCTCTGATACATGTATTTATATGTTGTGCTTATGTCAGGGCTTCTGTTGTATAAAATATTTATTCATTTGTTTTCAATTAGTACATCGAAAATTTGGAAAAATGTGTTAAACTTGAAGTACTGAATCTCAGCCATAATCTAATAGGGAAGATTGAAAAGTTGGATAAGCTGCTAAAATTACGTGAACTCAACTTATCATATAACAAGATCTGGTAAGTAGGTACTTCTTTGGGTAGCATTGCAGGGTCATTGTTTTTGTGAAAGAGGTAGATTAATGCTGCCCACATTACTGAAAGAAATCTTTGAAACAGCAGGCACTTTGATCCTTTATTCATTGATAATCTGGCCCTTCACAAATGGTAATTGCCTTCATGTTTTGGCATTACTAAAGTACGGAATAATATCTATAGAGTGTTATCAAAGAAGGAGATATGTTTTTTGAGTACCAAATTTTATCTTAATTCCATTTTTGACAGGAAGTTTTCCCAGGTCGTCTTTTGATTCATTGCCTATTAAGAAAGTTGACATGAAGCAGTATGTTTTAAGTCTCTCATTTTGATGCTAAAGATATTTCAACTCGTTTTCATCCTGTGTGTTTATCCTGATGTTCTTTGCTTATTGATATAAGAAATATACTCCCAATCTTGTTTCCATTTCATAATATGTATTACTATAAGGTAGAAACATAATAAAGTTGACTGGCTAAAACTGCACATAAAAACTTGTTATATACAAAATGATGCAAATGTTTTTGCATCTGTATACTTTCCCGACATTAGACTTGGTATACATAATGACCAAAAAACTAACAGTGGCAGAAGTTCTAATATGACAAAAATAAATGGGAAAATAACTGGTTAATGGATCAAATCCTTAATATAAAGTTTGTATAAAAATAATCTCGATAAAAATAATTTCAATAAAATTAATATGAAAATAAAGAAGTTTGGAAATATTTGCCCAGTATACTTTCCTCTTGACCAAATAATGAAATTGACAATTAAATTGGAATTAACTTGGGAAAATATTTCATCAGTGATAATTCATCACTATGGTGATAAATGTTTTATTAATTTAAATATTTTCATTAAAATATTTATGTTTCTAAATACAGTATTATTCTGGGGAGTCCACAAGCTCAAAACAGCAGGCCTATTCTGCTTGCTTAGCTAATCTTTTGGTAATGATTTAAGGTAATAAGGATATCTTTTCTTGTGCAGGGCTGTAACGCATAGCCCTGTGTGCTGTTGAGTTTTCTAGCTTTCTCACTGCTAGTACTCTTTACAGTGGCTGGTAAGAATGCCACAGACAGACTCTTCTTTTCTGTGGGATCATAAAGTTTGATAGTAAGACAGGTAGGATTCTTGGAAACAGTCATGAAGCTCTTACCAAAACTGTTGTTGTGGTAGATTTATTTTTAGCTGCTTTTTTGGGTTCTCACTTATGAAAAGGATTGATAAATTATAATTATGAAAAGTAATCCCACATAAAACAAAGGCTGTTAATTCTAAAAATACAGTAGAAAGAACTCTATTATGGTACTTACTTAGTTTGACTTTACCCTTTGGTTTCCAGCAAAATTGAAGGCATAGAAAATATGTGTAATCTGCAAAAGCTAAACCTTGCAGGAAATGAAATTGAACATATTCCAGCATGCTTAGGGAGGAAGTTAAAATCTTTGCGAGTCCTCAATCTAAAAGGCAACAAGATATCATCGGTAAGTTATTCAAAGAAGCAAGAATTTTTTTCAATTTTTTTGGGCTTGTTGAAAAAAATGATTAAAATTTAAGTTTTAAAAAATGGGGTCTCTTAAGGTCAATCGTCTTTTGATGAAACATTTAATTCAGACATAGCCCTGGATTCTCGGGTAATTAAATATAAGCAGTTCTGGTTTTACATGGTTCCATGGTAACTGAGAGTTGACCTCTTAACATTTTCACATACTTCATTTTATTTGAGACTGATAACACTGTTGTTAAGGAGAGTGCAGGGATTATTTTTACAAAATACTCTGAGATAGGTACTATAGTTTTATTCCCATTTTAAAGTAAAGTCTCAGAGAGACTTTACTTAAAGTCACACACCTTGTACCAGGATTCAGGCCACTGAATGCCTGGAACAGATTTCTTTTTTTCAAATGTATGAATTAACCTCGATAATAGTTTTAGGAGGTTAATTACTAGCTTTTTATAATAGAGTGATTTTATCATGGTTCACATAATCTGATAATGATGTATATTTTTCTGTTGAGTGTAATTTATGATTTTATTTGATACAGTTAGATGTTCAATAAACATTACTAAGTAAAAAACATTAATATATTTAAGTCTGTATTAAAATTGGAACAATCTGTTGTAATTTAAAGAACATCAGTCTTAAAATAGAAAATAAAAGATGTGCCTTCTAATATGTGTCTAGACTTGCCTTCTATGACCTTGGAGAATTCCTTCATCTCTCAAAAACTCACTGTTTACTTGGAGAAAACAATTTCTACCCTGCCTCCTTTACAGGAGTGTTTATAAGCTCAGATGAAATGATAGATGTGAAAATACTTTAAAATAGTAACTCTAAGGTTGTATTCCTTAACCCTTTGTTAGTGGAAGCCAGCAATAATAAACAACACTTGTTTAATGCTGTGCAGTTAACACTGTCTATGCTTTCTTATTTCATAAAGATCTGATAAGGTGACAGCCCAAGAGCCTCAGAGCCCCAAGCCCCATGCCGTGTTACACAGCATAACCTTGGAACTCTTAGGGCTTATGGGCTGATGAGACGAGAGAGCCATGAATCCAAAGTTTGCCACAAATATTCCTCAAATAGTTGATCCTTAGATAGTACTAAACATCAGCTGATGTCAACAGGAAAATCTTTCAATAAATACTTACGATTATTTCTAATTTTGTATCACTTTCTTATCCCACTTCATATTTGACACTTGAGGCCCAGTGCATGAAAGTCGTGCACTCGGGGAGGGGAGGTCCCTCTTGCAGTCCGGGAGCCCTCGGGGGATGTCCGACTAATGGCTTAGGTCCATCAGTCGGACATCCTTAGTGCTGCCGCAGAGGCAGGAGAGGCTCCCGCCACTGCTGCTGTGCTCACCAGCCGTGAGCCTGGCTTCTGGCTGAGCCGTGCTCCCCCTGTGGGAGCGCACTGACCACCAGAGGGCAGTTCCTGCGTTGAGCGTCTGTCTCCTGGTGGTCAGTGCGTGTCATAGTGACTGGTCGTTCTGCCATTTGGTCGATTTGCATATTAGACTTTTATCATATAGGATTACTTCTGTTAGGTATGTTTATGATTTTTAAATTATACCAATAATTTTATATATATCATTTCAGCTTCAAGATGTAAGCAGGTTGAAACCACTTCAAGATTTAACTTCTCTGATCCTAGTTGAAAATCCAGTTGTGACCCTTCCTCATTATCTCCAGTTTACCATTTTTCACCTCCGTTCACTGGAAAGTTTGGAAGGTCAGCCAGTAACCACTCAGAACAGACAGGAAGCTTTTGAGAGATTCAGTTTAGGTAAAGTAACTTTAAAAAATTTTTGGGGGGTGGGAGAGTAGATAATTTAGAACTTATCCAGAAAAATATATTATGAACTTTATAATGCTGTTAAAATTTGCACCATAAATGGAAATGGCACCATAAATCAATTAATTTAACAAATAGTCATTGAGCCAGGCCCTGAATCTGGTACCCAGGACACAATGGTGAGCAAGGCATATAGTACTGGCTTTTGTGCAACTTGCATTTTAGTGGAGAAGACGGACAAAAGATAAGTAAACACTGATAAAGTAGCAGAGGAGATCCCGTTTTGGGGGAAAGTGGTGTAAAGAAATGGCTCTCTGAGGAAGTAACATTTAAGCTGATGGCAAAGGCAACAATCGAGCGTGAAAAGCAACAGCTTATACTTTGAGGTTGGATAGACCTTGTTGAGTTAGGGAACTGAAAGAAGATCAGTATGACTGTGGAGGGATAGCTCATGAAAAAGTTTGGAGAGATGGGGTGGGGTGAGATAGCACAGGTCCTTAGGGTTTGGATTTGACTTCAGGTGCAGAAGAAAGCCATTGACAGTTTTTAATTGTCATGAGCAAGTTTATTATATATTAAGATTATTTTTTATACAGTATGGAGAATGATTTGGAGCAGAGCAAAATAGAGCTATAGGGACATATGAGAAGGCTATTGGAGAAATCTAGGCTAGAAATGTTGATGGGTTGTATTTAGGTGGTGGGCATGGTATCGATGGATCAGTTTTGGAGGTTCAGCAGCATTTTCTAATGGATTGGAAATTCCCAAACATTTGACTTGAGTAAGTGCTTGGATGGTGATGTTATATATAAAAATGGGAGAACTTGGAATGCTGAATTTAAATGTGAGACAGACAAGAAGAATTAGAAATGTGAGTCTGGAGTTCAAAGAGATAAGTACTAGAGATATAAATTTAGGAGTCATCAGCATAAAAATAATTTAATTCCACCAAAATCAATGAGCTCACTCAGGCAGGTATTGGGATGAGCAAGGAGAGCCAGCTAAGGAAACTTAGAAAGAGAGGTCAGCAAGGTAGGAGAAAACCAAGAAATAGTGGGTTGCAAAAGCCCATAGAGGAAGGTTTCAAGAGAGGAAGTGGCCAGCTATGTTGAATGTTGCTGATACAGGAAGAAGTAAAATGAGCACAGAGAAGTGCCTTAGATTGGCAACATAGGATGATCTTGACAAGAGAAGTTAAGGCGTGGTGAGGACAAATGCTAGATTATAGATGGAAGAGTGAATGGGAAGAAGACATTTGGGTTAAAATTTGAAATTTCCTCTCCTCATGCCTAATAAATGAGTTTAAAAAGTTAAAAGTTTAAAAAGTTTCACCAATAGCTTCTAGACCAGGAAGTGAGCAGAAGCCAATACTGTAAACCTCAAAATTAGTAATTAAAGAAACAAGAGTGGAGAGAGAAATCATGGCTCAGTTCTTTTGATCCTTGAGAAAACATGGAGATGAGATCAGAGAAAAAAAAAAGTCTTTTAATAAAAGAGGAACGGACACTTTCTCCATCAGAAGGGAGAGAAGATGCATGCAAGTGTGGGAAGTTTTGTTGCTTTAATGGTGGGAAAATGAGGAAGTTTCCACTGGTGGGGACTGTTCTGTCATGAAATATGAGGTCATCAACTGAGAAAGAAAATAGAAGGAATATGGGGGGGGGGGGGGGAGTTGTAGAGAAAGAGGAAGGTATGAAATATCCATTTTAGAATGTTAGGAAATGAGCTTGTGTATTCAACCATTTGAAATTGATGTTAGTCTACTTTGACTTATAAAAATGAAGGTTTCACCCGCTGGTGTGGCTCAATGGTTGAGCATCAATCTATGAACCAGGATTCCTGGTCAGGGTACATGCCGGGGTTGCAGGCTTGATCCCCAGTGGGAGGCGTGCAGGAGACAGCCAATTGATAATTCTTTCTCATCATTGGTATTTTTATCTCTCTCTCCCTCTCCCTTCCTCTCTGAAATCAATAAAAATATACTTTAAAATAAATGAAGTTTTCATATGGTTTGAACCAAAACTTGAGAAAGATAAATTTGTACTAGTGTGGGATTCCCCCTAACTCCACATTTATTACCCTGAAATTTATGTTTTAGAATCATTAAAAATATAAATAATAAAAAAATATAAATAATGCAAAGGAAAGTCATCATATAAATATAGTCTTGGGGAAAATGTTTAAATTACGATTCATTTATGACTTGGAATATTAAGTAAGAGCCTTTAATGTGCTGAGCTCTTGGAATTCACTGGTGAGCCAGATAGGTACAGTTTCTGCTTTCACAAAGCTTTAGTGGGGAAGGCAGATAGCCAAACTATTTGATCACATTGTACAATTCCCTGTGTAATGAACGGCATAACAGAGGTGCAGGGTGGTCTGAGAGCATTCCTGAGAAGCATCTAACCTGGGGCGAAGGGAGAGTTAGGGAGACTTTTCAAAATATTTCTAAAACTAAGACATGGAGGATGCAAAATAGGCTAGTCGTAGATAGAAGAAGACAGTTCCAAGTGGAAGGTATTAGTAAAAGCCTGCAGGTGAGAAGAGGAATTACAAATTTGAAGAATTAGAATCATTTCAGAAAGGCTGCAGTGAGGTGTACTTGCAAGTGAGGCTGGAGAGGGAGTTTGGGACCAAATCATGGAAGAGCCTTGTCATTCTTCTTGTAGGCTTTTTGGATCCTATCCTGAGCATAATGGGGAGCAGCCTTTGAAGGATTTTAAGATAGCATAGTATTTTGTAAACATGCTTGCAGCATCCTTTAGTGTGTAATTACTAATATAAAATAAAAAATTGCATATTTTTTATAAGAGAACTGGAAAAAACCTCATTCATCAATACACTAATTGAATCAAATACTTGGAAGAAAAATGTTATCTTTAAAATTGTTATCCAAATGATGACTTCTTACCTCTTAATTAAATCACTCTAGTTCAAGATAGTCTTCCCCCCCAAAAAAACAAAGTTATTCATAGTGAATAATGTTTTAAAATGGATTTTTAGAGAGAGGAAGGGAGGGAGAGAGAGAAAGAGAGAGAGAGAGACATTGATCTGTTGCCTCCCGTATGCACCTGACTCCCATATGCGCCTAACCAAGGATCAAACCTGCAGCCCAGTATGTGCCCTGACTGGAAATCAAACCTGCCACCACACCAGCCAGGGCTCATAGTGAATAATTTTAAAAGTAGAATTCTATTTACACTATTCTAAGAGTTCTTTTGCTTTTAGTTAAGTAATATTCTTACCTTTCTTCGACTAGGAAATATAATGTTCAATAAACTATTAAATTTGTATTGGCAGAAGAAATAGAAAGATTGGAAAAAGACCTGGAAAAGAAGATAATGGAAACTGAAGAGCTGAAGAGCAAACAAACCAAGTTCTTGGAGGAAATTAAAAATCAAGATAAATTGAACAAATCATTAAAAGAGGAGGCCATGTTACAAAAACAGAGCTGTGAGGAGCTAGAGAGTAACCTAAACACGAAAAATGAATTGGTAAGTTCATATTTTACATTGCTTTGACTATTTATGTTCTCTTGAAATAGAGAATTATTTGTTCTTGGGTTTAAAAACACAACTTCCTGACCACAGAATGGGGAAGATGTGGTTTAACAGAAATATGTGCAAAAGATTTTACAAGTTGTATTTGACTGGGTACTGTATGATATGGCTGCCCAAAAAGATGAATGCTATCTTCAACTACGCTATGTGAAGTGCAGTACCTAGAACAAAGGAGGGAAGTGAAGTCTCACTCTGAGGAGCTGGTCAGACTGCCCATAGATGTGTATATTTTTTTAACAACAACATTGTTGGTGAGACTGTACACTGGCAAAAACTTTCAGAAGGCAATTTGGCAAAATTATCCAAATTTAAATGGACATACCTAAGTCCTATATATTGGAAATATTATATGTAAGTGTTTATATATTATAATATTTATTTATTATTATATAATTGTTATAACATTATATAATCTATATTTCCACTAAGATGTTCTGTAGAAATGGTAGCAAGAATATGTTGTAAAGATATTGTATATAAATATGCATATATTTATAGAAGGAATATGGGGGGGGACTTGTAGAGAAAGAGGAAGGTATTCAACCATTTGAA